TTCCCTTTCTATATAAATAATTTTTTTAAATATTTTTTATCATGAAATTAGGTGTGAAAATATAAAAATAAATTTTGTGTTTTTAGTTTTACGTTCAGTTTAATGATAATCGAATATATATGATATTTTTTTTTTTAGATTTAATTTGAACATATATATCCGATTATATTATTTTTATTATTTAAAATTTATTTCTTCAATTGTTTCTTTCTTATTAAAATTATCATCGAGTTAATTTTTTAATTTTATATAATTTTATTTGTTAATAATTTTTTTTAATAGATGGCTTCTAAAATAAAATTTTAGACCATGATTGCTTTATTTTTTAAAATATATTATTATAATTTATATGATTGATTATTTTTATGATTTTTAAATGAGAATAACGTAGTTGAATATATAAATTCTAATGTGAGAGAGAGAGAGAGAGCTAAATGTGTGTTTTAGATAATTTGACTTAATTTTTAAAAGATAATAATCAGTTAAAAAAATAATTTGACTTAGTTTTTTTTTAAAAAAATTAATAATTAGTTAAAAAAATTCATAGGTTTTATTTGGTTATATATATATAAACGAAATTTATCAAAACCAATTTTATAGTAGTTTTTATTTAAATATATTTGCTTCGATTTATTCTATGCAATTTAAGTAGGTTTTTTTAAATATTTATTTATTTATTTTATATATTCTGAATATATTAAGTAATATATATATATATATATAGTTTTGTCATATATAAATTCTAATGGGGGGGGGGGAGAGAGAGAGAGCTAAAAGTGTGTTTTAAATAATTTGACTTATTTTTTTTAAAAAATAATAATTAGTTAAAAATAATTTGGCTCAGTTTTTTTTAAATTAATAGTTAGTAAAATAAATTCATAGGTTTTATTATTATTATTATATATATATATATATATATATATATATATATATATATATATATATATATAGTTTTGTTAGAAATTAATTATATTTGCACACGTAACACCAATTGTTTGCTATTTATTTTTTTTCGTGTTCTAAAATCTTTATTTTAAAATAAAATAATTTAATTAATTTTTTGAAGAAACCTCTTAATTATTCAAATATAAATTTTTATATTGATATTATAAATTATTTTGTTAATAAATATATATGAATCAAATAAATTTGCTTAATATATAGATTTAATTTATATTAATCTTCGAAACAAAATATATACTCGCATCATAATGTTCGAATCATTAATCCTGTGTATATAATGGTATTATCTAACCGCAACATAATGTAGATATCTAACTAGTTAAATTTAAACGAATTGACTTAACAACACTTCTTCTAATTAAATTATACCCCAATTCTTAAAATGAGATCTCTATAGTCGATTAACAAAATTTTTGCCCTGGATCATATAGGTTGGGCCTGAGCATGAGCCTTGCATGGCATGAGATATGAGCAAAAGTTTTATAGCCCACTTGGTTCATCAAGGTCCTAAAACGAGGAAAAGTCGTTTTTGAGCTTCTTCTTCTTCTTCTTTCTTTTTTTTTTTTTTTGTTTTTTTTTGACCAATTGTTGTTGACATGGGTACCCATGCAGCTTGAGCATTGTATATCAAACAAAATTCTGTAGTGAAGCATAAAGAGTGGAAGAGAAGTAATGGCTCTATCAGTCCAGAAGAGCATGAGGGTTCGTCAATTTGTCGCAAAAATTGTGTTGGGCCAGAAGATTTGTGTGGCCCCTTTCATTTACCTGCCCAGCTGTGAAAGCCATGACTAATAACTCTGCTACAAATGAATATGATTTGATTCTTTTTCTACGTAGAAGCAGATTTTTTTGCATAAAGTATAAGATATGAAGATATAGAAAACTAAATTAGTGTCAATAGGCCATTTTAAGAATATATATTTTTTTTGAAAAAAAAAAAAAAGACTCCAAGCATTTTGTGCCTGGATCGAGCCATGAGGACTGTCGTTACACGACGTCGGACGAGATCTCTCAAAGAAATTAAGGTTTGAGCATTAATTATTTACAAAATTATTTACAGAGTTTTGGAGTCGCCACCTAGTAATTAAGGAACTAGGAACCTAAAAGTAACACTTGGTTCGGAGATTCTAACGTAAGTAGTTGGTTATACTTTTAGGAAGATATTTAATCCCTTAAAAGTGCCCTTTTCAAAAAAAGGTACTTTGTATAGTTTAGTTCTAAATTCATTTCCTAAAAATCAATGTTAAACTATTTTCTAATTTTTAAATTCCTATTTTTTAGACTAAATAAATTTTTTAGTTTTGAGCGTGGCATTATATTGAAACGATTGTCGGTCCCCTTCGTCGGGTGACACGTCGATTCAAACATCGGATCCACTAAAAGCCTCGACATAATTGACGTGTCGGAGGACGTCTTAATTAAAATGTGATTTTTGATGATGTTAGCCCCTATCAAATATGAGACTTCATCGAAAATTTTGAATTTGGTGACGTCGGTCCCTATTAGATAGGAGACTTCATCAATTTATTTATTTATTATTATGTTATTTTTTTGGTGGCCTCGGTCCCTACCAAGTACGAGGCTTTGCCAAAATTTTTAAGCATTTTTTTTTATGACGTCGATCCCTATCGGATAGGAGACTTCGTTAAGATTTTTTTTTAAATTTTTCTAGCAATACATATTAAAGAAAAAAAGTAAAAAACAAAAAAAAATTGAAATAACAATTCTAAATTAATATATAAAAAAACGACAAAGAATAAAAATAAACAAGGCTAAAAAAATTAAATGAATAATAAAAAAAGATAAAAATAAAATAAAAAAATCGACCTATACCTAAACCATTAACCCTCAACTTTTACTCTTTTATTATTATTATTATTATTATTATTACCCATCCCGTTTTTTTTCCTTTTTTTCTCTTTTTTTATTCCCTAATTCTATTTTTTAAAATTTTTTATTACCCCTTTTTTTATTTTTTTTGGAAGAGTGGGCCACGAGTCGGATCGATGATAGTCCGGCCTCCCTCCCTTTTTTTTTCTTGCAAACGGGTTAGACTGGATCGATTGCAGTCCGGCCCACTTTTTTTCTTTTTTTAGGAAAACCGGGCTGAACCCTAGGCCAAGAAACAAGCTCCACCTCTTTTATTTTTCATTTTTCGGATCAAAACTCAACGATTTCCAACCTTCAACTCTTTCTCTCTCTTGTTCGTCCCTTTTTCTTTCTATTTTCCAGCTTCTCTATCCTTAAGAACCCTATTTCGGATAAATTAGCTAAATAACATACATCTTTATACTCCGGTTTCGATCACAAGCCCAACATAAAGGTAAACCTTAGACAAAATTACAAAACTAATGTTTGGAATGTAGAAGCAATTGAATTAAAAACTGGAAAAATGATGAACACCAACCCGATATGCTTGATGTCGATAATTGAAGGGAACGAAAAAAAACTTGGATCGAAAATGACCCTCGGGATGGTTTTGGAGAAGTTAAGGCACCGTTAATGGATCTTGGATACTCGGATGGATTCGAGATGGGGGATCAAAGTTCAACAATGTGGAGAACTTAAAATTAAAACCATAAACCTAGAAAGATCAAGAACATTCAAGCGTTACCCGAAACATGAAGAACACCGCCCGAGTTTTTAAAGAGCAAAGATCGAGAATTTGAAGAATTTGAACCCAATTTCAAGAAGTCGGATTGAGCAACACTCTAAGATGGAAAAATCAACACGAAAAACCAAGAAAAAGGGTCGACAGAGACCAACGGTTGATGAACGAAAACCCGTAACCCCAAGAACACCAAGAACACGAAGAACCCAAACCTAGAAATAAAAAAAAAAACGCGAGTGACCAAAAAAATCAAAAATTAAGCTTTTGCTTTCGACTTTCAATCCCTCTCAACCCGAATTCCTCCCCTAATTTTTTTCTCCCTTGTTTTTTGTGAAATTCAAAATGTTTTATAGCCCAAAATTTTCTAAAATTTCTCTTAGAATCAAATCTCAAATCCCGAATTTTTTTATCAAAATTTTCCTCTTTAATTTATGATTAATGTGAAATCAAAACAAGAAATTTGGTCATTGCTTCCTGTTAATGTTGATTTTGGCAACGAATCCACGATTAATGCACAATCAAAAACAAGAAATTCGTAGAGGATTTTGGCGGATTCTCCCAAAGATTTTCGAAGAGAATTTGCATTGGAGCGAACGACAGGTCGTCTTCTCCATTTTGGTCCCATCGTTCGCTCCAAACTTCCAATTTGATCCTTGTGTTTCAATTTCAACAATTACGCCCTTCGATGGTATAATTTAAGCACAATCTCATCAATTAGGTCCCCGGGAGGTGCAATTTAAGGCCTAATTTTTTAATTGACTCGATTACACCCCTAATTACTTCAATCATGTCCCTAAATGAATTTTTTTTTTGTGTTTTTCATTATTTTCTTTTTTTTTTTTTTTTGGTAAACTTCAAATTAAATAAAAAAATAAACATAAATAAAAATAATAAATAATAAATAATAAATAAATAAAGGAAAATTTTGGGTTATTACAAGGACAGAGGAGAATGAGCTCCTGAAAAACAAATGCTATGAAGGTAGGAGCTGAACAATTCAAATAAGGCTCAAAAGATGAATCTTCATAGTATATTTCGGAAGGCACAAGACAAAAATCCTGGCTGGAAATACTATGCAGGTAGCAGCTGAGCAATTAAAATAAGGCTCAAAAGATGAATCTTCATATTATATTTCGGAAGGCACAAGACAAAAATCCTGGCTGGTTCTTTCTTTACAAGCGAAAGATACTGGAAAAACAAGTTAGAATAAATCAATCATGCATAAAGCAAACCAACCATTTCTAGGGAAATCTTGAGAGAGCAGATAGTACAAGTAGACCTGCAAATCCATTGCTGAAGAAGCATATAGACTAGAAGTTAAAATTATGAGAGCCTTGACGGAGTGACAGGATCTTTTTTCGAGGGAGCCGGAAGCATCATTCAGAAGGACCTTAACTTTCAGGTGTCCTCTGGTTTGCTTTTGTTGTTAAATTTGAAGCATCATGTTGGGACTAGGAGATTGAAATGCAAGTTTGGAGTGAGTATGTTCCCCTTCATAAGTCACCACTAACATGGTAGGATCCTCCAAGCTTCTTTCTACGTGTTTTCTTGCTGGGCATCCCCTTATGCTGCTGCATTTGTAGTAGCTCCTTTGACACCAAAGAATGAAACAGATGTTAGTAAACAATATAACTGATCCAGGTAGCTTTGCTCTTAGATATGCAAGCATATGAACCTATGACTACAAGTACAAGTACGGCTTTTGACGGGATATTGGCTTGGGGCCAAAAAGAAGAAAACAGAAATAATTGGTCTCAAGCTTCATAAATCACGGATGGCAAGCATGAGCAGAATGATGAATTTGAAGTTCTAAACAACTAAATCAAGTTAGTCCAGTCTATCCTGTTTGATTTTTTATTTTGTTGTATTGGGTAAACGAATACAGGGAAAGAATGAATTTGAAGTTCTACACAACTAAATCAAGTTACATTAATTTAGTTGCTAAAAACGAAAAATCTCAAAAGAGAATTGACAGGAGGCAATGTCAGGGTGGAAAAGTACCTGGGATTTGGAGATCCTTTTATTGGCTTCTGTCCATATTTTCTCCAAGAGTGATCATCAGGAGGTATGTCAGATAGTTTAGTACTTAAAGCAGGGACCTTAATTATTTTCTTGATCCTCAATTTCCTGTAGATAATATATCAAATATGGAATTAGAATATTTCCTCTCCTACAGATGGAAACTCTTATTCGAGAAGTAAAAGTCTGAAAAGAATATCTACAAATCAGTCATACATAGAATACATGACAAATAAAAAGGACTTACCTTCTCTTTGAACAGTGACATCCACCAGTTGAGGCTAGGCGTTTACTACCGGTCTCATCACTTTTCACTCCACTCCTGCTCTTGGAAAATACAGAGGAATCATCTTGAGAAGGCAGAACTTCTGATGACGAATGATGAATTATCCTGCCATTTCTATCCAAACTTAGAAAAGATGTGCTTAGCTGTAAGGGAGAAAGGTTCAACCCCATGATCAAATTAGTTTTGACATCTACATTGTCTTTAGTCTTCTGTTTTTCCCTATACATGTTGAAACTATTGGCATGGATCAAAGTAGTTGGCTGGATACTCTGAAGATGGAATAGCTGCCTATTGGGTTGAGAAAAGTTGTGGTCAGAACTTTTCGTCACCGAGTTGGGACTATCCATCAATTCAACTGGGTTTATGTCACGGGAATTTGGCAAAGGACCTTTCCTGATCCTCTTAGCATCTGACTGCACTGATCCATCAAGGAGTCTAACTAAATTTCTGAATTCATTTAGTGCATCTCGTGCAATCAGGCTCACTTCCTGAATGCTTCTTTTCTGATTTTGATCAGAAATACAGCTAAACAGATGATGAGCTTGGCTGAAACTACTTTGAGCAACCTCATGCACTCTGAAATCCCATCTCGGGCTCATTGAAACACAGATACCTGAAGCTTCCTTCGTATTTGTTCTGGATTGTAGGCTACACTGACAACCTAGTAGCTAATTCTACCTGATAAAAGGCCTCCAAGGTGGCTCAAACAAAGCATTTAGACAGCGAGAGCCAAACAACCATGGATGAGGAGATGAACCGTAATCTTGTATACAAACTATATTTTTCTAATAGCAGGTGAACCACAAGAAATTAAGTAAGCAAAATGTTCAAAACCCAGTAATTAAGATTATCTCTCTGTTTATTTATTTATTATTATTATCTTATGTACGCAACTGATCTGCAAAGATAGTCTACGGTAGCTTGGGTTACAGAAATCGTTTAATCAATAGACAACTGAATGATCTTAAAATAAGTTTCAAGAAAATGAGACAAATGAAAAAAGAAAAAAGAAAGTTACAGAAGATTAAAGAAAAAGAAAACGTTGGCGTAGAAACAAAGATGACTGTCATTGCATTCTCATGTTGCATTGTGGCGGCTTTATATATGTATTATTTAGTAATGCTGATAAAATAATGCAACAAAACTTGGTAAAAATCATTAAGAAAACATATTCCTCATCAGTTACGGATAATGTTTCTTAACTCCAAATTCCAACTGTAGCATCATAGTCATGAAATTGAAGTAAGTTATTAGTAACATTATTCATAGAGAAGTAATCAAGAATCTACAAATCTGCAGGATGAAAGTTGAAGCATCAGATTACAAGAGAGTAACACAAATGAAAGAACAATCAAACATGTAATGTTTTTTTTTTTTTCTCTCTCTTGATGAATAACATGGAAGTAATGTTTATCTATGGACTTCTAATATTTATAAAATTATATCGCATTGCTTAAAAAAGATGACATATTTACGTCCTATTAGTTCCATTTTAACTTCAATATATGCACAGTGAAAATACCTTCAGATATGTGTGGGTGTAAAATTTTTAACGTTTTCTAGGATATATATATATATATATATATATATATTGTAGCATTCTGTTTGTGGGTTGTGGGGCAAGTAAGTGCATAAGAAGACACAGAGAGATTCAAATATCTAGGTGAAGAACTTTTGGCTGTATGTGGCCTTATTCCACTTGCCAATGAATCTAATCCACTAACCAGCCAGCCAACCGAACATTGCAATTGTAGTCACTTTCACTCAAGCACTTGGACCATTAGCATGCATCCTTTTTGGGTTCATCATTGAAGCATGCTTGTTCCCGAAGGGTGGCTTTTTTAGTGGCTTCACCTCTCCACTTCTCTTATTATTGCATTGTTTATTTTCCTGTCACAATAAAGAAACCATATCAGAAAGCACATATTATTTCACAGAAATCTTACCTACAAAGTGGCATCAGGTATGGCTTGAATCATCAAGAATCACCCCATTAATGCTGATCATATTGATATGCTTGGTACTCAAAAGGTTAGTCCCAAATTTTCAGTCGAAACAACCTTACTCCCTAAAGATGACTTTAGAAAACATTGCTCCAGTAATATACAATCAACAGGCTCAAGAGTGCCAAACGGGGAGGGTAGGTGGTGCAGGCTCAAGGCATCCATGTATTGCATTGATTAGCTTCAGGTAATAAAATCTTGTGCAGTCGATACCCACTGAACTGGCAACTGAATGTCATAGCATTAATTCTTGCATTTTACCCAAATAAAATCTTTTACCGTACTATTGTTCTGAGCGTTAATCTCAAAAAATAAAATAAAATTTGGCCACTCACTAGTCTGAGGTGTCCTGCCAGTCCACTACACTATAAATTAACTTGATGATTTGATAATTTTATATGTCTAAGATAGCATTTTACCTGACCTAGAAAGCAAATTTGGGGACTTTCGGTCATAATTTTATAAAATTATTTTTCGTAAATAACTTAACACAAAAATAGTTAAATGATGGTGGTAAGTATGTTGATAAAAAACAACTCAAAACCCTTTATTTGAAAAAGAAATACACTACAAGTTTTTTTTTTTAAAATTAAACTACTAATATTAATTTGCAAAAATAATTCAAAAGTGACCAAATATGCAGTAGACACTTCCCTCGTCTTTTTTTGAAGAGGGAAGCAGAGGTGAAAGACTGAATTGTGAGATATTGGCATGTGGATTTTTTTTTTTTTTTTTTAAAAAACAACAACAACAACAACACACTTTTAGTCTATGGACCACCAAATCCAATATGAGCATTCGAGTGGAAGGCTGCTTCTCTAATTAGACCTAGACAGTTGTGTAACTTATGATACAGAATACCAACTTGACATGTCAATTAAATTCCAGCTAAAAATATCAAACTTCTCCTAAATTTTAATTTATTTGAAAATTAATTTCTAATTTTTTTAAAATTTAATCTATTTTATGATTTTCAGTTATCACCTAAAAAAAATAATCAATTTTTAGTATTTTAATATGAAAATTTGAATACACATTGAGAAAAATCTAATTTATTTTAAAAAAAATTTCAAATTTTTCCATGTTCGAAAATTATATATTTTTATTTTTAACATTAAAAATCTGAAAAATTGAAAAAAAAAATGAGTCTAAACTTGATATCACTAAGAAATAATTATGGTTAGTTATCTCGTGAAAATTAAATCTTAGTCTTAGTCAAATTAGGACAATCCCCTTGTCGCTATACCACATTTCTTGGTGGTACACTATCACGAACTCGTAAGCGGGCCATGATCAACACAAGGATCGAGAAAACCGTGAGGTCCACCTCGATCCAAGCAAGCCTCGAATGCTAACCTACGGTTCTCAAATCATCACCAACATCAAATATCATTTCATTTTACATTAATTTTAACTTAGTAAACATTTCTTCAACATTAATACATCTCATAAATTCCATGCTATTCTCATTTTAATAACCAAGATCGATATTCTTAATCAAATTATAATACATTACCTATAGCTATTATTGCAAAGCATCTAAGATTTATAATTTAAGATAAACATAGATTCTAAGGAATTACAATGAAGGTAAGTCGCACGACTAAATGCCGATTTCACAAAAAATAGCTAAAAGAAAGCAATGAGCAATCTCTCAATATCTTATAAGACTCAAATAATGAGGGGTGAGTAAACAACGACTCGGTTAATAGACGTTATATAATATACTAAGGAAGAAAAATGGACTACGGATGATGTTCTCAAATCCATGTCAAAATGCAATGCTTATTTCTCAAAACACATGCATATCAAAAAAACATCTCATATCACAAATCGAATGGTTTAAAACCATTTCGAATTAGATCATCAAAGAATTTGTACATACATTTATTGTACTCATATAAAAACACATATATAGGTTTTATACACCCGTGGGGTAATAACGTATCATTGGATGTGAACACCCAAAGGTCATGCCCCCTGTGACTAGGTTTCTTCATGTTGGCCAACATACGGTCTAGCATTGCACCTCTCCTGCTAGATGTAGCCTCGTATTAATGAGCTCGAGGGCTACCCCTCCGTAGCTAGGTTCCTCGAGGTCTCGAAAAGATTTTTGAAAACCAAACATATATATTTTTCATACTTGGTATTTCAAATATCATGCATGCGTTTCAAAATTTATACGAATATAACATATTCATCTTCAAATTCGAAAACACATATCAATCCATTCATACATTCAAATCTCATTTCAATTCATACCAAATTATTTTGATACGAAAACGTTTTAAAGTTTATGATGTCCGTTTCCATCTAGGTTCTAATAGAATTGCTTCTAAATCATTATTAAACAATGATGCATAAATGAACGTAATCAAGAAATGTAAAACACGAGTATTCTACATAATATCCGCTCATAGTTCAATGACGAACCAAAACGAAGTCAAGACGGTTGGGATGGAGTCGCTCGCTTTGAAGAATCTAGCATCACAAAATGATGGATCATCTATTAATATCACATAGTAAGGAATAATTCAAAAAATGAATCATTTTAGAATTAGCAAAATAAGATTATCAAATAAAAATAGAATTGATTAGAAAGATTCAATTTGATAATCTAATTAAATTTTATAATCCCTCAATTGATTTTAATTAGTTGTCTAATCACATTCATTGTTAATCTTTAACCCATTCCTTAAACAATCAACCCTCAATCAATTAACCATTAATTCAATTAACTAATCAATTCAATTCTAATTCACTCAATAATCACTCCATTTATCTTTAATTATACTTTATAACTTAATTCCTCATTTTCTCTAAAATTCTTTCCAATTAAAACTTAAATTCGAATTTGTCACTATTCATAATCTTCAAACTCTCAATTTCTCAAAGTCATTCAATTTCACTTCTAATTAACTCCTTATTTCATTTCCTCAAGATAATTAATCATTATTTAAACACTTAGGATCACTTAATCAAACTTTCTCCTAAATGGGTCTCAAAACCTTAACCTTAATCTAATCAATTCCTTAAGCAATTAACAAACCAAAGCTATTCCAACTCAATATCATCATTAATTACACATAAGCATTCTAATTTAAAGATCAATGGATCAAAATCTTACCTTAAGAATTTGTCCTCCCATTCTCCAGCTTTCTTCCTAGTTTCTCCATGCTCCCTAAGCTCTAAGCCGGTGAAACTCTACTTGAATCCTCTAATTTATGTTTCCCCTAAGCTAATTTAAAAATGAATTAGCTTAGCAATTGAAGTGAAAATGGAGAGGGGTTTCGGGAGAGAAAATATGTGAGAGAGGGAGAGGAGAAAGAAAGGAAAATTTTGGAAATAGGGGTAGTTACAGACTCCTATTTATACTAACCTTTTTTTTTAAAAAAAATTCTAGTTATTACATACACATTAGCTTTATTAAATCATGTATATATGGATACTTGCTTCATTGTTGAAATCTAATTTGATTATAGGAATCATTGACCTCGAACTTTGAGATCATGATCTTCGTAAACTCGTATATATCATTTGCTTTTTAATAATAAAATACACAAGTAAAGATATTTCACATTACATAGTAAAGATAT